GGACAAAAAAATAAGGAAAATCAAAGAAGAATTGATGTATTTGAATTATGGTATTGGCAAAGAATATTGAATATACCATGGACTGCCAGAAGAACGAACAAATCTGTCTTGGGGGAAGTACAGCCAGAAAGCTCCTTAGAAGCCAAGATGGCCAGACTTCGTCTCATGTACTTTCGACATGTTATCAGGAGGGACCAGTCCTGGAGAAGGACATCATGCTTGGTAACGTAGAAGGGCAGCAAAAAAGAGGAAGACTCTCAACGAGATGGATTGACACAGTGGCTGTAACAATGGACTCAAACATAGAAAGGATTGTGAGAATGGTGCAGGACCGGGCAGTGTTTCGTTCTGTTGTACGTAGGGTTGCTATGAGTTGGAACTGACTCGTCGGCACCTGACAACAGCAACAACAACTACAATGAGGCTGATTGGACCCTGTGGTGTTAGAGGCCAAGTGACAGCAGTTAATTGACAAAGACAAGGTGGGTGTGGTTACCATAATGGACAGCAGATTCAAAGCAATAATTAGAATTGTCTGACTTGTATGGACTTATGGCATTGGCTAACTTAGTCATGGTATCCCTAGGCGTGAAATAGATGGGAAATCTACTAAATATTTACTTGATCTGTGCAAGCGGAAGAATTCTAGGTCAAGTGAACGGCCATGAAAGTTTCAGGAGCCTGATGCGGGAGACTGGATTATTGGCAGGAATGTGGAGAGCAACACACATTCAGAGTAGCATGGCCGGCTGCCATCTTTGAGCGGGGCAGTGCTGTTTCCTACTTGGAACAAAACTGAAAGGGCAAGAGCTTTGGTTGCTATGTAACATGTACTCTGCCCTTGTTTCCACTGACCATAACTGAAGCATTTTAAACTGGTTCAAAGCCCTGATTTATATACATATGAGTCACTTGTTTTCTCCTCTAGAGAACCCAGCCTAAGACAAGCACTCAATAAATAGTATTATTATATTATATCATGTTGCATTATATAATATTTCCTATTTCAGGCTCTCTTTGTGTGCTGGAGATATAATGATTATTTAGTCTGGTATAGAATTCTTTACAAAATGTTATTCCAAAACCAAACCCTTTGCCGTCGAGTCATTTATGACTCATAGCGACCCTATAGGACAGAGTAGGACTGCCCCATAGGATTCCCAAGGAGCATCTGGTGGATTTGAACTGCCAACTTTCTGGTTAGCAGCCGAGCTCTAAACAGGACTCCTTACAAAAAGTTATTAGGGGACTCATTTTGTCCCCAGCTGTAAGCCAAGGTTCTGATTTACTTCAAAAATTATTTTTTATGTGTCAGTGTCAGGAACTCTTATGAGTGTAGAGCATTTGTTCAGTTCCAAGAGGGAAATTCACAGGAATTCTGTCAGTAAATACTTGTGGATTTATGAAATTTTGATGCTACAGCTTTGATGTGGCTGTTTTCACTCAGGGCTTCAGGGACATTTTGTCATGGCCTAAGAAACACATAGCAGTTTGGGGCAGCTAAGAAACATGTGCAACAAGCATCCAACCACTTTGCTGGGTCGGATGTGTACATTAACTTAATATGTGTATGTTTTTACTTTGACATGGCTGTTTCAGTGCCTGAGTCTTTGATTACATCATATTGATCTTGCCAGACCAGAATGTTTGTTTTAAATACTTGTTAGTCTCACTTGAATGCCAGCCATGTGTCTGATTCTTATTTCAGTGGCAGGAGGGATTCAAACAAAGCAGAAAGCAAGGAATTACAGTCTCAAGGGGTTTATATAGTTTTGCCAAGGCGTGGCCAGAGGGGTACATTCACCATTTCAGAAAACATACATCTCTGTTCTTTATTGGCCCTTTCCTGAGTTAGAGCTTCATTACAACCAAGTGACTTTTTTTTAAATTTCAGTTTTTGTGAAAATATACCCAGCAAAATATAACCCATTCATCAATTTCTGTACGTGCAATTCAATAACATTGGTTACATTCTTCACATTGTGTCACCATTCTTGCTATATCTTCCCATATTGTTTCACCACCACTGGCTTAGATTTGCTACTCCCTAAACTTCTCATCTATCCTTTAAAGTTACTGTTGTCAATTTGATCTCATATAGATAATTCTTTAAAAGAGTGCAGTGTTCACGTCGAACGTTCTTTACTAAATAGTTTAAAGATGACTTCAGGTGATAATTTTGGTTCATGGTTTGAAGATTTTCTCAGAGCGATAGACTCGGGGGTTCCTCCTGTCTCAATAGATCCAGTAAGTCTGGATTCTGTAAGAATTTGAAATCCTGTTCCGTGTTTTCTCCCCTTTTGATCACGATTCATTTATTGATTTATTGATCAGAATGTTCAGTACCGATAGCCAGGCACCAGCCAATTCTTCTGGTTTGAGATATGTTTTAAAATGTAAAAAGATCTCAATGCAAACATAAAAATCTGGTCCACCCATGCTAAAAAGATCATTTTGATAATTTTCTCTGCTGTGTTGTCAAAAGAACTTTCTTGTCTGCTTTGTTTAGGTGTAGGAGGAAGTAGCATTTGTTACTCGCTGATGAGAAAGGCCCTTGTCCACATGCTGTGAGCAGTTATGCCCTATTTTCTTTTGTAGATGGTCTGAGTGATCATTAGCACACACACAGGTGAAGAAGTCAGAGGCTGCCTCAAACATTAACTAGGTCAGTGAAAAATTAGGCCATTAAGGGGACACTAAGAAGCTTATATATTTTTTTCTTCTTCTTTTTTCTTATTGTACTTTAGATGAAGGTTTACAGAACAAACTAGCTTCTCATTCAACAATTAGTACACATATTGTTTTGTGACATTTGTTACCAACCCCCTGACATGTCAACACTCTCCCCTCTTCAACCTTGGGTTTCCTATTACCAGCTTTCCTGTCGCCTCCTCCTTCTAGTCCTTGCCCCTGGGCTCATGTGCCCCTTTAGTCTCATTTTGTTTTATGGGCCTGTCTAATCTTTGGCTGAAAGGTGACCCTCAGGAGTGACTTCATTACTGAGCTAAAAGGGTGTCCAGGGGCAATACTCTCGAGGTTTCTCCAGTCTCTGTCAGGCCAGTAAGTCTAGTCTTTTTTTGTGAGTTAGAATTTTGGTCTACATTTTTCTCCAGCTTTGTCCGGGGCCCTCTACTAGAGGCTTGTATTTTGATGAATATTTTCATCTGGGTATTCTACCAGACCGTATAATATTATTCCCAATTTTAAAACATTTTGGTAGAAAATTTATTAAGCAACCTGTTATGAAAAAGTAAGTAGTTGTATTTGGGTCCCAGGGCTTAATTCTGAGACTGGAAGTTACATTCTTGGTGTTTTGTTTAATGGTGGCACAGTTGGGGAAGTCTCCTGAGTTATGTTAGACTTGCCATAAATTTGGCGAGTATTATGCTTTTCTTCTTCACATTTTCACGTTCCCCGAAGAAGGAAACTACATATGCCAGGTACCATGCTGAGCCCCTAGCATTCTTTGTCATGTTTAATTTTCTCAAGGTAATTACTGGGCCTTCTTTCTATATATCATACAGCTCTTAAGTCACGGAGTCAGGACTTGAAGCCAAGGCTCCCTGACTCTAAAACCCACACTATTCCCATTATAACCAGTGATTCCAAACCACTGAGCTGCAGATTGGTGTTGGCTCCAAACCAAGATTTCTCCAGTCTGTAGTGAAAAGATCTGGGTAAGAGTAAAACCCGCCTATCTTGGAAGGAACTGTTATTTATTCAGAGATTGTACCTGTCTTCTTTCTAGGTGTCAAAAGCTTTTTTTTCTTTTATGATATGATGGTGATTGTAAAGGCAACTAACAAAAATGTCCTAAATTGTCAAAGTAAAAAAAAAAAATGTTTTACCTAAGTCAATCCCAGGGGGCATTGGTGGTTTCACGGTTGAATTCTCGCACTCCATGCAGGAGACCCAGGTTCAATTCCCAGCCAATGCACCTCACACACAATCACCACCTTTCTGCCATTGCTAGTTTGTGTGTTGCTATGATGCTGACCAGGTTTCAGCAGAGCTTCCAGACTAAGACAGACCAGGAAGAAAGCCCTGGTGATCTACTGCAGAAAATCAGCCGATGAAAACCCTATAGCTCACAAAGGTCTGGTCTGCAATCAGTCATGGGAATGATGCAGGACCAGGCAGCATTTCATTCTGTTGTGCATGGGGTCCCCGTGACTTGGGGGCCAACTCAATGGCAACTAACAACAATCAGTCCCAAGCTTCCTTTTGGTATCTTATTGGCCCATGAAACACCGAAGCTGGAATATGTGGCATTGAACCCATTACCCAGGCATGGCTCCCTTGGCCTGACTCCTAGCACATCTTGGGTTCCCCTTGGGGTTCTTCTGGAGAAGGGCTGGGCTGGATGAAGGCAAATCAGAATGTTGACTCTTGGCAGTTTAGCAGAGTCTTGATAATGCAAATGACCTTTTAAAAATGATAGATTGAGGGGAGGGTTTTTTTTTTTTAACTAGATAAATCATTTCTTCCAAAAGAGAGGTAAAACTTGGATTGTCAGTATTTGTGCCTTTTCTGTGTTCAGGATGAGGAAGGCTGGAACTTGGAGGTATTTTAATTTGGGCATAACTGAGGCCCTGACTCTCCTGACCTTAGATCATTCAAAAGTCACCTTTTTATGTGATTACAAAAACAGCTTAGAGTGGTATAAAAAGATCAGGTTTTGTAGCCAGTTATATCTGGATTTGAATCTCCAATTTTGTTTAGCCTTGTAGCCTTTGGCAAGTTACTTACTCTTGGGCAAGATACTTCCCTCCCAGAGTTCTTGTGGTAACTCTTGGAAAAACCCTACCACTCCCTGTGGTTTTCCTTTTATTTACTGTGAGGATCTGGTGATAATGGGTGTAAAAGCACCAGCGTTAGGTGTCCAGTGTGTCCTGGTGCCCTGCTTATTTATGAACTGCAATTCAGGGTACCCCGAGTCGCTGTCTTTTTGTTTTCCTGCTAATGGTTCCAGACTCCCAGCTGTGCCTCAGGAAGGCCTGTTTCTCTTCCTCCTACCTGAGCTCCTGAAACTGGATAGGGGAGGTGCCCTTCACTCTCTAATCACTGCCTTTGCTTCTGTTTTAGTGCCAACAATATGCCCAAGCAGGTCGAAGTGCGAATGCATGACAGCCACCTGACTTCTGAGGAGCCCAAGCACCGGCACCTGGGCCTGCGCTTGTGTGACAAGCTGGGGAAGAACCTGCTGCTCACACTGACGGTGTTGGGTACGTGTTGAGCTACCCCACCCTGACCCCATTTTCTGGGCCTCTCTTGGCTCTGTAGGCAGCTAGCCCTTTTACTGCAAAGGTAGCTTTGTGCCTAAGTCACCATTCGTACCCAGACATTTCTGCCTCAATGACATAATCTTCCACCTCACCTGCCCTGGCCATTTATTTTCCTTCTTTGAGTTCTACTGGTTCTCAAATTTTAGTATGCACATAGCTGGCAGATTCCCAATCCATACTCAGGGAGACTTTATTGTGGGCAGTTGAGAATGAGGCCCTGGAATCTGCATCTTTGCAAACCTTCTAGGTGATTCCAATGCAGGTGGGCAGATGACCACATTTAGAGAAATACTTGCATTCAAGATAAAGACAACAGTTGCAGGAAACTCCACTAAGAGGGCTCCCAAAGTTTAGCGTTCTCTGAATACCTCATGAACTTTGATTAATCTAGCACATTAGTTAATGAGGTCAGTGGAAAGAGACTTGTCCTGACACCTTGACCTCGTTCCAGCCCCATCTTGCAAGTCTTACTCCCCTCCTTCAGACTTCATCCAGGCTAGGGTTGTTCTTTCTGGTAGACTGTTGACACAATCTTGGTCTTAGGTTTTCAACCAGTGTTTATTAGACACGGAGCAAATTGCAGTTTCTTGTAATGACAACTACACCATTTCCTGTCTCGATTCCTCCCTTGTTATTCAGCTCTCACTTAGGCTACACAGAGAAATAACGAACAACTCATCTCTCTCCCCTACTCCCCCCCACACCCTCTCTGTTCTGTGGCCTGTCCTTTGAGTCCATGATCTTGGATGTCAGTGAACCAGGATCAGGACCAGGAACTTGCCACAGCTCAGTTCACTTAATTAAAGGAAAACCGCAAGTAGTGGTAGGGTTTTCCAAGGGTTACCCACTACTTAAGTGGATTTCATTCATCAGAGTCTGGAAGAATTTGGATAGTAAGTTTTTCACCTGTAGACGGAAAAAAAAGATCAGGCTTTGGCTACATGACTCCCTCTGCATCCCTGGAGTTAACACCATGACCTATATAACCCAGGAACTCCCTCCCTCACTTATAGCCAGTGGTGCTATGACCTGATCTGTGGTTTCTGCAAGAGTCCTTTATGTTGGCTACCCACTTAGAGATATCCGAAGTTTTTCTTGCGGGGTCTTTGAGTATGCCAAATGAAAGGCTCCTGCCAACATCTCTGCCCAAATTGTTTCCTCCTGAATTATATATTCTTAGAGACACTCCTTGATCTCCCATCTGATCAGCAAGTCTAAATTTTATGTCAAAGGACATAAAAATTAAGGACAAAGCTTACTGAGGAAGAGTCACGGGGAAAATTGTAGGAAGCCTAAGAAAAAAGATGAAAAAAAAGAACTCACACTAGCTTGGTCAATCAAATGTTTCTTTTATCTGGCATCCAGTTGAAAAGGGAAGAAATACATTAGATACCATGTCATGTGGCTGACCCTAGGCTGGAAGGAGAAGCAATATCTAGTACTATGAATTATTTCCACTGACAATCCTTGTGACTCTACAAGTGGACAATGTCTTCAAAGAAGGTAGATCAAGTCGTCACTTCATATGTCACTCCATAAGGCTTTGCGAAGGCTCTCCTTGACTCTTCCAGTGCTGCTTTTTAGGTTAGTTAGAGCAACAGAAAGTTCTCTCACTCGTCATCAAAATCAGCTTTACTGTATAATGGTATTTTTGTCACACATTATTCATCATCTGATAATGGAGAAACATGAAAAGCAAATGTCACTGAAATAGGTCCCCAGAGCTATTCCTTTGACTAGGGCAAAAATAAATTCATGTGTATTTTTTTCCTCCCTGATAGGTGTCATCCTAGGGGCAGTATGTGGAGGGCTTCTTCGTTTGGCATCCCCTATCCACCCTGATGTGGTTATGTTAATAGCCTTCCCAGGGGATATACTCATGAGGATGCTAAAAATGCTTATTCTCCCTCTAATCATCTCCAGCTTAATCACAGGTAAGACAACCTCTATGGACACCTGGCCAAAGTGGCTCATCCTCCTGGTCTAGCTTTTGGATTAACCCTATAATCTCAAGTTGGTTGAATGAGTGAAGGTGACCTTTTGTGTCATTTCCCTTCAGCGCCTTGGTTTTCCTGTCTTTAAAATGAGCACAATCAATTCTAAAATAAATGATAGCCATCTATTACGGGTCAGCCCGTCTCTCTAGCAACAAAAGATGAACAGGAAACACCGTCACGTGTTACAAGTGATGGTTTCTATAGTGATTTTAATTTTTAACATATACTTTTCTCAATTTTCTAAGTTAAATTTTGTTCAGAAAGTGATAAGATAATAAACAAAGATAATAAAACAGGGAATTTTCTCTTTATTCTTTGATTCTACATGGAGGCAAGTGGGCTTTAAAAATAAATGTGTGACGTGAAAGCCCTTTGAGCTTTTCAGAAGAAAGGTACCCTTAAGTGTGTGGCATCGTGTTCACTCGTTTTTGACTGAAATAATTAATTATTTTATTTGGAAGCGTTTGTGTGTGCATGTATGTTTCCCTCCATGAGCTTATAGTGGTAGTTTCTCCTCACCAAATAACAACGTTGCTTGAATAGTTATAAACTGGTGTAGTTTAGATGGTAAGCTCTAAGGTCAGGGTGAGAACCTGGACTTTGGTCTATATTTGGGTGCCAACAAGCTACGTGACCTCAGAAAAGTGACTGACCACCTCATAAAGGAAGTGAAGCCGGCAGCTCCAAGAGATTCACGTACTAAGTCAGATTGCTCTACAACCTCATAGCTGGCAGACCAGTACACCCAGTAACTGGAACCAAGGCAACTCCAGCTACAGGAACTCAGAGGCTGAGCAGAGGCTTGTAATTCAGCCCCAGACTGAGTGAAGCTGTGCTTTCACCTCAAATGTTCCTCCCCTGAACCAGAGAAAACCCTCCTCACGCCCGTTTAACACATTGTACATTGGCCAATTTGGTAAGGAAACCTGGCTTCCATTTGGCTAGACTTAGACTTTAGGTCATAAGGAGAAGTGGACCATTTATGGGTCAGTTTAATTTAGAAAAGTTAATATGAATGACTTCCTCCCCCACAGCCAAAAGAACTGATCTCCAGTAAAGGGTTCAATATCATTCTCTATGAAAAGCAGGAACTGAAACTAGGAAGTGGAAAAATTGAAGGAACAACTGGGAAAAAACCCAATGGAGGCTGGAGTTTTTGTGACTTGCTTGGAATTTCTTCTAAGACTCATAGAACCCTCTCCTCACCCCTGTGTCATAGATGAAGTGCCCACCGTTTGTGGGGTGCTTTGCACACGTGTTCTTCAATCCCCATGAGAGGTCAGGAAATGTAGGTCTGCATCATGATTTGAAACGAAATTGAAAGGCTATGCTAGGTCACTGTTCCCAGACTTCTGTATTCAATTACAAGTAATATATTCAAAAATTTTGAGGCATGACATCGGGTCATCAATTTTTTATTTTCCCAAGTGAGGACATTAAAAAATAATAAAGAGGTAAAAAACTAGCACATACTAGTACCATAACTTCATAAAAGAAAGGCTATTCTAACACCAAAAAAATGAAAAGGATGTAACCTCAGAATTTAAAATGAGATATATCCAACTTTATTTTAACTTGCTATTGCAGGTTGACAAAAAAGCTGTTTTATGGACCAGTCTGTAAACTTGGAACCAGATGATCATCTCCAGCTGTCCCCAGTTTTCTAGAATCTCAAAAATTTCCTTGGAAAATAGAATTGTGAACTGTGGGGTTGACGAAATATTCAACAGTAGGAGATAAATTAGCCACTAATGAATTTGAGAATCCTATAACCAAGGGTAATAGGTATGGGTAATTAACAGAATCATAATATAATTGATCCTTTCTGACTTTCTTTTCAATCCAGGACTGTCGGGCCTGGATGCTAAAGCCAGTGGCCGCTTAGGCACGAGAGCCATGGTGTATTACATGTCCACAACCGTCATCGCTGCTGTGCTAGGGGTCATCCTGGTCTTGGCCATCCACCCAGGGAATCCCAAACTCAAGAAGCAACTGGGGCCTGGGAAGAAGAACGATGAAGTGTCCAGCCTGGATGCCTTCCTGGACCTAATTAGAAATCTCTTCCCTGAAAACCTTGTCCAAGCCTGTTTTCAACAGGTAACCCAAAATAGAGTTGTTCTCACTTCTCCCACCTTTTCAGTTATCAAGATGGTAACATAGAGATTGTTACAATGAACCAGCTCTGGGCAGCAATTTTCTTAATATTTAATTATCTCTGTCTAGCCAGAGCTCTGGTGGTGCGGTGGTGAAGAGCTATGACTGCTAACCAAAAGGTCTGCTGTTCAAATCCACCACCTGCTCCTTGGAAACCCTATGGGGCAGTTCTACTCTCTTCTACAGGGTCACTACGAGTCAAAATCAACTCAAAGACACCTGACAACAACAGCAACAGCCAGAGGTTATATGAGTGAGCTGGGGCAAGATCTTGAGATTGCAGTGTCTTAGTATTTTTCTTTAAAAACCTTCTCTCTCTCTCTAGCTCACTTACTGTCTCTTTGCTCTGGGATCCACCTTCTCCCCTTTGTGTCTTGTCTCTTCTTTTTTGTTCCTGTCTCTACATCCTTAAAGACTCATTTCAATCACCCTTGCACACAACCCCCTATAGCACCCAGTGAGCTCTCTACATCGGCAGTCTAGTAAAATCACTTGTGGCAGGTTTAAAAAATACACATGACCTGCAGAATCAAAATCTCCAGGGGTGCGTCTAGGGCTTGGGTATTTTTTAAATTGCGGAAACAATACATGCAGATTGTCAAAAGTTTAAATAGTATGTTGTTAGCTGCTGTTGAGTCAGCTCCAACTCATGGCAACCCTATGGATAACAGACTGAAACATTACCTGGTTCTGTGCCATGTTCAAGATCGTTGGCATGTTTATTCAGTCAGACAATATTCTGTTGTCATCCATAGAGTTTTCATTGGCTAATTTTCAGAAGCACATCACCAGGCCTTTCTTCCTAGTCTGTCTTAGTCTGGAAGCTCCGCTGAAAACTGTCCACCATAGGCCTGTTGGTATTTGCAATATGGGTAGCATAGCTTCCAGCATCATAGCTACACACAAGCCACCACGGCATGATAAACTGACAGACAGGTGGTAGTTGAATAGTTTAAAAGCATACCAAGTAAAAATTAGAAGTCCCCACATCCCTTCCCTAGAACTACTCATGTTGACAATTTTGTTTCCTCCCATGTATTTTCTTTGCACCTCTGTGTACGTGTGCATGTGTATTATGTATAATCTTTTTAAAAATTCAACCCAGATGGTACTGAGCTGTAGGATGCCATGTTGCACCTTGCTTTTCATCTCAGTGTTTTAAAGTCATCACTCTCCCTTTCTTTTTTCATGATTTCGTAGTGTTTATAAAGGATGAGTTCCTACAAGTGAAAATTTCCTGCCCAAGGGTTTTACATTTCACATTTGCTGGATGTTGCAAAATGACCCTATGTAAATTTGTAGCAATGTGTATGTTCACCAACTGCATGCAGCCCTGGAGGTTTTTAAAAACTTGTGATTTTGCACAAACAAACACCACCATCACCACCACCAATAAAAAAACAAACAAACACAGATGATTCTGCTCTCTGGAACTACTGAGTTAGCTGGTCAGGCTCTACTCACTAGCCTGTTGCCTAGCCCCAGCTTAGGTTAGAATACACCTCAGTTCTCATTAGCCCAGGTAGGAAACGAAGCTCAGAACCAAAGGCAAGAAGCTGCCTTCAGCTGTTTCCAGAGAATCACAGAAGAATGGACTTAGGGAACAAGAGGAAAAGTCTGTGCTCCCAGCTGCCCCCAAAATGCAGTTGCCGACCACTGCTGAGTCCAAGTTACCCTGAATTGGGATAGGTTCTCCAGTTTCAAATGTCATTTATATCAAATGCCATTTATATTAAGGAAACCATTCTAGGCAGAGGAAGTTGGACAGGGAGTGAAGAAACTGTCTGGGCAAGTGTATGTGTGGAGGGGTGCTTACCCCTATGCTGGCCTGCTTAGAAAGATGAATTTGCTTGCTTTTGAGTGATAGACACAGTTGGGTGCCATGTCTATTCCTAACACTTTGGAAGGAATGTTCTGGAACTATAGCTGCTGGAAGCTGAGCTGGTAGAAGACTGGGAGTGGGGTAGGAGAATGAGAGGGACGAGGAAGGATGCGTCCAGTTGCAGTCATGCTGTGTGAAAGAAAGGGACACCCTTCATCTCAGTCAGTAAGGCGGGGCCTGAAAGCAGGCAGGTTGCTCCCATCTTGGTGGTGAGTTTTTGCGGTGCTGGCTATGCTCACCTGCAGTAACTGCCCTGGTTGATGGACAATGGACACTGCCTATGACAATGGCATGGAAGACTGTGCCATTCCTTGCTCCTGCCCTACTGTGACCCTACCTCTCCACTGGCAAAACTTGTATAAGGACTGAGCACTTAGTTCCCCAGCTGAGCCTAGGATCATAGTTCCTTTGGGTTAAGATAATCAGAGAAAAAATAGTGTGGAATTCTTTACCTCAGGGTGAAGGCAGAGAATATATCCTTAAGGCTGACTTTAGGAATCCCAGAGGAAAAGGATCTTAAACTAGGTCAATCCCATGGGCTTGGAGGACCTTGAAGAGGACTTGAGGAAGGGGAACACTTACATAGTATGACATTGCGTTACCAGAGAGAGTGCAAGAGAGGTGCCCTCTGTGCGCAAGAGGTAAAGCTTAAAGTGATTTAAAGTAACTTCCCGAGCCCTGGTGGTGCAGTGGTTAAGAGCTACGGTGAGCTATGGCTGCTAACCAAAAGGTCGGTAGCTCAAATCCACCAGCCACTCCTTGGAAACCCCCATGGGATGGTTCTACTCTGTCCTATAGGGTCACTATGAGCCAGAATCGGCTCGATGGCATTTTTTTTTAAGATGGAGGGGGCATCATGACCAAAGTTAGACACAGAGATGTCAATAAGAAGGTAAGTGGAGGCTGGCTGACCCAAGGTGACAAGAGTTTGTCCAAGTCAGGTCCCTGTGTCTAACTTTGTGTCTAGCAAGGAGGTCTCATGCTTGCTGTTTAGGACCGACTCTGAACTAAGGTGCAGTTTCCAAGACAGTAACTAGCCTAGTGGCTGTAAGGTGCAGCCTGACAATATTAACTCAAGCCAATGGATAGTGACCCCATGAGCTCTTTGCTTCCAGGGAATTCAGTGTCTGTTCATTTAGCCAATGTTTGTGAGCACTTACTGGGTGCCAGGCTCTCTGCAGTGCAACAGGGAATGAGACTGTGAGGCCCCTGCCCCATGGCACTTACTTATATTCATGGAGTGGGGGGTAAGGCCAAAACATGCAGGCAAAAATCAGGTTAACACACAAGATATTTACAAATTAAAATAAGCGATAAGCACTCTGAGGCCTAGAGGCAGGATGATGGCCTAAGGGGCTAACTGGGGGAGTAATTTGGCCTGAGACATATGGGATCAGAATAAGCTAAACCTGGGAAGAACTGGGTAAAGAGCCTAAGCAGACACACAGCACTTGGAGAAATTGGAAAGTATCTGGGCGAGCTTAGAGAACAGAAAGGAGGCCAGTGTAAGGCGAGTGTTGTGAGTAGAGGAAATGATGAGATGACATCAGAGGAAAGCAAAGTCCAACTCAGGCAGGACGTGGTAGACCAGGGTCAAAATCTGGGTTCTTATTCTAAGAGGGTTCTTAGCAGGGAGGTGATGGTTTTTCTATTTAAAAACATCAATGTGACAGCTATGGGCATAGATGTAGCTATACGTAACTAGGAGTATAGTATAGCCAAATAGGAGTCCTTGGGTGGTACAAACAATGTGTTAGGCTGCTAATTAAAAGATTGAAGGTTGGAGTCCACCCCGAGGTGCCTTGGAAGAAAGGACTGGAAATGTACTTCCAAAAAACCAGCCATTGAAAATCCTATGGAGCATAGTTCTACTCTGACACACGTGGGGTCTCCATTAGTCAAATTGACTCCACGGCAGCTTGTGGTGGTGGATAGGTAGCTATGTCTACCTATAAACTGTAAGTAAATAAGAAGAGAGGTAAGACGGTCTGTTAGGAGGCTTTTCCAAGTTTTAAGGTGAGAAGAGGTTGGTTGGACTCAGGTAGACTAGGGTTTGCATACAGATGGAGATGTCAAACACAAATAGGCTCTGTGAGTAAAGAACTTGGAAGAGGACTAGGTCTGTGTTTCAGGCTCCCTATCTCCTTGGCTTCGACTTAAGCCACTGGCCTATGCTATTTGGAAGTTGGATTTTGGAGTCAGACAAAGCTCATTTTGAATCTTGGTTCAACAACTAACTATCTCTTTGACCTTGGTCTATTTACTTAGTCCGGTGAGCCTTGAGGAACTACAGTTGACATAACAGGTAATAGACATAAAACATGTAGCCCTTGTCTCCCACCAGATCCTGGCAGCCATTACTTAGGTCTATGACTGTTGCTCTTTTTAACCCAAGCCTTGGTTTCTTTATCATCCTCAGAATGAGTCTACAGTTGGCTCCCGGTTCCCCCTTCATTCCTAGGAACAGGACTCTGTTGTTCACCAAATCTTCCTTTATGATCACTCTTGCATTCTCTCTTCATGCCAATGTCTGCCCAAACTAAGGGCCAATGAGCAGCCTTCTTTCCCCTGATGTAGCCTACTCTGGGCTTCCTCTCTCCCTGCACAAGTGCATGTGGCCAGGCTAGAATAGAGAGTACTCTACCTCACCTCAGAGAACCTCACCTCTCTCATTTCAGATGACTGATCAGTTCAGCATTGCTCACCATTGGCCCGGCTGCAGTAGGATTGTGCCCATATAGTTTAACATGCAGCCCAGGTGTTGTAAAGAACTCAATGGTGGCCAGGCCATCTGAGTTGAAGTGCCAGTTCTACCAATAGCTCTATGATGCCCAACAAGTCATTTGATTTCTCCATGTATCCTTTTCCACATCTATTCAGGGTTCACCCTTCTGTTGCCTACTATGTGCCAGCACTGACATTTTAGGATTCTACATGAGTTCTATTTTCATGCCCTGGGAGGTAGTGTTTCCTGGGCTGAGATGTGAGTTTTCACAGCACTCAGCTCGCAGGGTGCCTAGCACCTTTAAAAGTAGGACTGCTGCACAGATGTCAAGGATTAGCCTGAGAGGTTCCTTCGGAAGCCATTTGCACAGAGATGCTTGAAGAATATTGAGCAAGGCTTGACATCACTGCCCAGAAAAAGCACGTGTCTTCCTACCTTACATTTGGACCTAAAACTTGAGCACCTGCCCTGCCTTTGATGGCTTCTCGCAGCTGCACATCTGGCACCCAGATGGAGATTCCCAGCAAAGCCTGGCTCTGCCCAACAGCAACCAGGCAGGGAGGAGCAAAACAGATGAATTAGGAGTTGCTGATCTGACCCTACTGCCAAGGCCCTTTGTCTCTTATTCTTGACCAGACCCAGAGTCTGTCATGAGAGGCCAGGCGGACCAGCTAACTGGATCTCACAACTGTGAAGAGCATCCAGGTTAGACTACAGAGCTATAATCATTGGGGTAAAAGAAAAAGACACCCATCTTCCTACTCCCTGGATGATGCAAATGTTCAACGCACTTGGCTGCTAACTGAAAGGTTGGAGGTTCAAGTCCACATAGAGGTACCTCAGAATAAGAGGTGCCTGGTGATATACTTCCAGGAAATCAGCCATTGAAAACCCTGTGGAGCACAGTTCTACTCTGACACACATGGAGTTGACTCGATGGCAACTAGTACACCCAACTTTAAGCTCATGTCTCCTTACTGGTTCAAACTGCTTACAGTACATTATAAGTGAGTTTTTAAAATCCTGTCATTATCTTGTGATTTGGACAGCTGTATCACCTTGTATTATATTTAAAAAAATCACTTGGTTATGCACAAATATATATAATATTCTCCAATTTTCAAAACCTTCTTTTGGCATTTCTTCATGATTTTTGATGTATTAGAAACTTGAAAATATATAAGCAACCAGGCCTTTGTTGATCTTTTAGACCAAGCCTCATCTTTATGATTTTTTAATTTTTATTTTAATTAGATACAAACAGTGACAAAGAAAGTCTTGGTGGCACCTAAGTCAGAAGAGGAGGCCAATGCAACCAGTGCCATTGTCTCCCTGCTGAACGAGACTGTGACTGAGGCACCTGAGGAAACGAAGATGGTCATCAAGAAGGGCCTGGAGTTCAAGGATGGGATGAATGTCTTAGGTAGGCAACCTGGTAGTCCGGTTTTCATCTCCCTTGGGGAGGCATCTCTGCTTCCATGACAATGGCCTGCTTTAGGGACTTAGGTGGGCTGGCTAAGGGAGCCCAGCTCTAGGGGCACCTGCCACCTCATCTCAGCACCTCTCCTCAGTCACTCCCTTCTCAGGAAACCAGTATCTCTGTTGTCTTCTAGGTGGTGCAGGAGGCTCTCTCTGGGGAGTGATTTAAGTGTTACTGGGGCTGAGAGCTGAGAGATTAAGGAAGAGAGACAGGACAGAAAGAAGGCCATGAAGGGACATGGCAGCTAGAGGTCAGATATGGAAAAAGAAGAGGGAACTAACACTCACTTGACTTTCTGCATGATGTTGCAAGTCACTTTCTCTGACTCCTCATTAATTTACATATCCCGTTAGTTTGTTTCTTAAAAATTTTGTTGAGCTGCCCGCTCTGTATCTGAACTGTGCTAGGTATGGGGACGTACCATCCTATCTCTCATAGTTTGTGAACAAATGCAATGCTGTCCATATTGGAAAGTCTTGGAGTTGGTGCCGAAAGGGGTTTTATTCCATTCTCTGAGCCTCATTTTTAAAATGAGGTTGGGTTGGCAGCTACCTTGTTGATTGTTGTGAGGGTTAAATGAGATTGTAAGTGTAAAGCACAGTGTGGTGCATGCCACATGCTCCATTCCTGAGAGCTATTGTTATTAAAAGTGGATGGAGAGCTGAAGAGCTCAGTAAGAAGACACCACCTGCAGGGGCCAGAGATTCCCTATCTTGTGAGTGGCTCCAGTTTGCCCAGTTTACCCCCACTTGCCCCCTGGGTTCATTCCCCACCATAACCCCCATTTTAGGCAATTAGAATGGTATTCCCCAGTGACATTTGAACATATGCTAGGAGAAATGGGGCATCTGGATGGAAGAATTATGATGATCCAACTAGGCATTTGAGTGAAAGCCATTTAGAAATGGATTAGCTAGTAGTCCTACCACTGGTTGCCCATCTAGGAGATCAAATATCTTTATCTCCTTACTAGGGTTACCAGATCAAATCCAAAACCCTCACTCAAATTTAAATTGCAGATAAACGGCAAATAATTTTCAATGTAAGTATGTCTCTCCATGTAACAGAATAACTTCAATGGCAACTGGTTTTTTTTTGTTGTTGTTGTTTGTTTGTTTATGTCCCAAATATTGCACTGAGTATACTTATACTAAAAAAAATTATTTGTTATTTATCTAAAATTCAAATTAACTAGGTGTACCGTGTGTGTTCTAAATAAATTTGGTAACCATATTCCTTACCCATCTAGAATGGGAGAGAGAAAGAGGTCGAGGAAGCAGGATTATTCAGCCACTGAGAAGGGGAAGCTACAGAAAGGGATCTTTTTTTTATTTGGCCTGGAAAGAAGCAGATTGGGTAAGTGAGACTGGGGGAGGAGATAAGCTGACTAGGTTGCCAGGTAGTGGAAGATCAATAAACATTGTTGACAATCAGGAGGAGGCTAGAAGAGGAAGGGGAGAGGAGAAAGGGAGAGAGTTCCTCACAGAAGCAGGCTTTGCAGACATCCTCAGCATCTACCCCGGAGCAGCTCTTCAGTCCCATTGCCCAGACCTCCGTTGACTCTCTCAAGACCTTCCCAACTCACCCTGGTCCCTTCTGGTAGGTAAGTCATAGCTGAGAGACCCAATCCCCAGTGTCAAAGTGCCTCTACAGTCTTCTACACATTCTAGAGGAGGTTGGGGCCATGAGTAAAGGGGCCAAAGCTTTGCAGTGAATCATCCAGAAGCCTTTACTTGTTTTTTCCAGAACTGCGGTGGATTCTGGGAAGTCACAAGATCTTTGGCTGTACTGGGGAGTTTCAACACAATTCACTACTCTTTCAACCCCAGTGACCAAGCCTAAGAGGGTTTTGTTCAAATGACACACCCCAACCCAGTAAGTGGGCTCAGTTAAGCAATGTTTACAAGGGGAAATGACAAGCTGGATAGTGGTTTCCATCCAAGTGCAGATGAAGACTCTGGAAAGCCAAGGGAAGTTAGACTGTTGAGAAACTTCCCATTTACAAATCATGACTGAAACGAAGGTTCTTTCCATGGTCTTCCAAGGGCAGAGGGGGTGGCTTTTAAATTTTTTTCCTTTTTTTGGTTTTTGGCTGTGGAAAGTCTCAAGAACAAAGCATTGCAATAAGTGAAGCTGAAATCCTGGCTTTGGCCCCCTACTCCTTTAAGGACCCCTTTCTCTCCTAAAAAGCCTCCAGACCTGTTTCTGGGTCCCACTCTAATCCCATCTGTTTGAGTCAACGCCTGTGAAAAATTACTCTTTAAAAATATATTTCCTGTGCTATAGATACGGCCAGTTTCTTCCGACTGAGAGGGAGCTTTTGGGGTTTGTTTATTCCAGTTCCCTGGAACCTTGAGACCTTGTGCATTTTTTCTTAAAATTTCCAAACAAAATAAACCAAGTAATATGAGCTATTCTCGGATGGAATGTTCCCGATTACTCGCCACGTACCTAGTAAACTCCCCTCCGTGGGCCTGAAAGAAGGATTTGGGAATAGCGGCAAGCCTGAATTTGGTTTCATACATTACTACAGAGCTAGGTCGCTCTCTCCTGGATCTAATCTTCACTAAGCCTTTGTCTTTAGTGGGCTGCTAACTCATTTGTGAAGTCACTTGTCAAACTTTCTGGCTAAGAGCTACACAGGGAAATATTAAATACCAAGTATTAAGAATCCAGAGTGCAAATCTGGGTTCTTTTTGTTGGCGAGCAAAAGGGTCCAGTGAAGGGCAGTAAAACAGTCTGGATGAATGTGTGCTCAGTGTGGGGGAGGTTAGTGGTTTTGGTGACTAGGGAGAGGGTAAAGCCAGGGATTTGGAGAGAAATAATTCCCTATAAAAGAGTCAAGTTATATGGTATAACTTAACCTGATCCAAGCCAAGACTCCAGCCATAACTAGACACAATAGGAAACTAGATATAATAAGGAGGGACTTGCAATTAGGCCTGCCAAACTGTGCCAGGGTAAGTGTGAGGAAGGGAAGGGATGGAGAGAAAGAGCAGATGACCTACACTTTAAGTACAGAGAGAGTCAGGTGGGCGAGCAAGGTCTTATAGCTAAGGGTGTAGTGACATTGTTGTATTGTTCATGCAAGAAGTCAGACTTGGGGCCCTAATACAGGCAATAATGTATCATGGTGGGGAGGAAAGTACATGGTGACTGGGTGATGTAAACGGTTAACATGCTCAGCTGCTAACCAAAGGGTTAAAGGCTCAAGTTTACCCAGTGGTACCTTGAAAGAAAGGCCTGGTGAACTACTTCTGAGAAATCAGCCACTGAAAACTCTTTGGAGCACAATTCTACTCTGACACACATGGGGTCACCATGAGTCGGAATCAACTTGACAGCAGCTGGGTGACAATCAGAAATCCAGACAGCCCCCAGTCTGTAATGGGGGTGTCTGTTAGCCACTCAGTGCACCCCAGTCACCAGGTGAGTTGGGATGAGACTTCAGGCTTGAGGGTGAGAAACAGAGAGGAGAGGGTGTAAAGAGTGATAGGAAGAGAGTCTTCTGGGGAGGGAAAGGCCAGGTCTAGCCTTAGAGGAACTAAAGTATGGGACAGGTTCCCAGGACAGATACTCAGGCACAGGGAATGCAGCAAAAGTCAGCACACCAGAAATAAGATCCAAGGTTGGGTATTAGAGTTGGTCCAGAACTGGGTGCAATGTGATGCTTACATCAAGAGGGGGGAACAGAGCTTCTCAAATCTTTCCTGCCTTGGGTTAGGACTGACCCTGGAGGCTAGGCTGAATTTAGATGGAAGTCAAATAATCTTTTTCGAGGGGAAAAGAGAGCTAAGAATAGCTAGGAACTGGCAAAATCTGATAGTAAATCTATGCCCTATCTTAATGATCCTGAAAATAATAAAGAAAACATTCTAACATTTTGACCAAGAAAAGAATTCTGAAAAATTAATAAAAAGCAAGTTACATCAAACAGATTGAGTTTAAACTGGGGTTTCCCAAATTGTTTTGGATTTTTTATTGCATTTATTTTGATTTGGAACATTCTTCTCTTCCTCATGTTAGGCAGGTAACAATACAAAGTTAATTTTACGTTTAGGATGTTTCTAGAGTTAAACATATCAGCCATGTGTTAATCTGGGATAACACTAAATTAATATTGATGTAACCCCAGAATAGACTTTATCGGCTAATTGGTCTCTGCCCTGCTGGCTCGGTGGTTAAGTGTTCGGCTGCAAACCAAAAGGTTGGCAGTTCAAATCCACCAACCACTCCTTGGAAACCGTATGGGGCAGTTTTACTCTGTCCTATAGGGTTGCTATGAGTCAGAGTTGACTTGATGGCAATAGGTTTGGTTGTTTGGGGGTTTTATTCCAATATAGATTCACTGTGAGTCACAAAAGGAGCACTGGTGGCACAGTGGTTAAGTGCTCAGATGCTAGGTAGGTGGTTGAAACCTGCCAACTGCTCTGCAGAAGAAAGATACAGTAGTCTGCTTATGTAAGATTTAAGCCTTGGAAACCCTATAGAACAATTCTACCTTGTCCTATAGGATCACTATGAGTTGGAATAGACTCGATGGCTATGGGTTATGAGTCAGAATCGACTCAATGGCAATGGGTTTATTACAATATTGGCTCCAAAATTTGCAAGAGAATCCCCAAGTTCCAATAAGCCTTCCCTCAGTAATATATGTAGTAATAGAGTCTGCTTATACTTTCTTTCGTAAGTGAGGAAGAGAGAACAGAACACTTCTCAGTTTGGAATGAAAAAGAATTTGTTTTCTTCCAGGAATTAACACTGCTTATAGTTCAACTTGGAGCCCTGGTGGCACAGTGGTTAAGAGCTCGACTGCTAACCAAAAGGTCCACAGTCTGAATCCACCAGCTGCTCCTTGGAAACCCTATGGGGCAGTTCTACTCTGTCCTATAAGGTTGCTATGAGTTGGAATCAACTTGATGGCAACAGGTTTGGTTTTTCAGTGTAGTTCAACTTGGGCTTGTGTGAAAAATGTTTAGGAAAGCCGTAATTATCCAGGGGAAAGGCACTTTTAGTGTGAGATATAATGCTTTTGTCTTTTAATGCCTAATTCATAGAGTAACAGGTGGTGAAAATGCAGCTCCATACTTATGGAATGGTAAAGAATGAGGAAGAAGGAACACATCTGTTATAATTTGTCCTTCTGTGTAATGTGATTCACCCAACAGGTCTGATAGGGTTTTTCATTGCTTTTGGCATCGCCATGGGGAAGATGGGAGAGCAGGCCAAGCTGATGGTGGAATTCTTCAACATTTTGAATGAGATCGTAATGAAGTTAGTGATCATGATTATGTGGTAAGTGTGCTTATTCTTACTTCACTGAGGTGGGGTTATGAGATGGCCTTTGGGTCCCCAGAGGATACTGGAAAACTTCCAGCAGGAAAGAGTGGACATGGACTGAGCAAAGGGCTCAGTGGAAACACTTTGAGAAAGAGATAAAATCTCTTTTTTCGGAGCTAGCTTCCCTTAGAACGGAGATCAGCAAACTATGGCCCATGTATGGCTTGTGGGTTAAGAATGATTTTAATGTTTTTTACATGGCTGAAAAAAAATCAAAAGAAGAAAAATATTTCATGATACATGAAAACTGTATGAAATTCATATTCCAGTGTCTACAAATAAAGTTTTATTGGAATACTGCCATGTCCATTTGTTTACGTTTGAGCTATTGCTCCTTTCACATTACAGTGGCAGAGATGAGTAGTTGTGACAGAGACAGTATAGTCTCCAAAGCCAGCCTATTACCTAAAAAGTTTGCCGATTAACAGACTGGAAGAAAAAAAGAGATAAGCTGGAAAATCCAATCAGTAATACTGAAGCTGAGCAGTATCAGGAGACGTTAAGATGAGCCCAGCATACCAGGGAAAAGGCATGGCCCAGGATGTGTGGCAGAACAACTGTTTCAATATTATAGTATCCCAAAGCAATGAATCTTAGACCTGGGTTACCCATGCCTCACATAGAAGAAAAAGAGGTATTTCTCAGGCCACGAATGCAAAATTTATATTTCGGAGACTGTGTTAGAACTGTAAGTGTTCTTGGAAATCTGGTCTCAATCTCTAGTTTTACAGAAGAGACTCTCTGATCCAGAGACACTAAATCTCAATTATTTTAACATCATCATGACTATGAGAGTTAAGGTTGTGTGTCATCTTGGCTGGGCCATAATTCTCAGTGGTTCGGCAGTTATGTAGTGATGTAGATTGGTAGTTATGTAATGAGGTAGTTATCTTCCATTTTGTGATATAATGTAATCACCTACATGATGTGATCTGATGTGATCAGCCAATCAGTTGTAAGAGGAGTTTCCTCAGGGATATGGCCTGCATCCAATATATATGGACATTCTGGCAAAGCTTGCTGGCTTTTGCTCACTCTGGATGTTTCATCCAACTTGTTGTCATTTCACCTCCAGTTCTTGGGACTTGAGCCAGTGACCTGCTGTATTGCCTGCCAGTCTTGGGCTTTGTTGGCCTCTGTAGCCTGTGAGCCAGCAGCCTGCCATCTGACGTGCTAGTCTTGAGTTCGTCAGGCCCTGCAGCTATGTGAGACAGGAGAAGCCTCCAGCCTGACACTTGACCCATGGACTTGGGACTTTCCACTACAACCACCTGAGCCATTTCCTTGAGATAAATTTCTCTTTCTATATAAATTTCTGTATATACACTTCACTGGTTTTGCTTCTCTAGAGAACCCAGCCTAAGACATTTGGTAAGAGGAGAGGTTCTAGAGAAACAAAATTGCAAGGATAAGTTTTCTAAATTGATTCTCAAGTCTGGTTAGTCTTAAAGATGTTGAAGACTCTGCTTCCAGTAGCAAAGAGGGCACAGCTAATCCATGGATGAGGTGACAATAGAAATAGGGAAAATATCACCACCAGTAGATAAGTGCTGGTGAGAGGCAAGGCTCTGGATGATCACGTTTGATACTTTTCTACAGTTTTGTCAGAATGAGAAGTATAAGGAAGCTGCTTGGTTGGTCCTACTTTTGCTAGACAAAGTGGTGAAAAAGATAAGCTCAGGGCTTCAGAGTCACAGCTCAAGCACTGCATAAATGACCTCAAAGTTGCCATTTGTGCCCTGAAAGAAAGCGTTATTTCTTGTAGTAACAGAGCTGATGTTGCCAAAAACCAAACCCAGAGTCTTATCATAAGAGTGGCTGAATTACAACGCCATTTGAATTCCCAACTTTGAATGGTGCCTAAAGTTAAAGTGAGGGCAATGACTGGGAAGAAATGGAATCCTGAAACTTGGGATGGGGACATATGGGCAGATAATCAGGAAGCTTGGGACCCTGAGTTCCTAAATTCCATTGAATCACTCCTGCCAACAGAACCAACCCTCTCCCTCCCATTTGAAGAGCTTACTCCATCTTTGTCTGCTAAGCCACCCTCCCCAGTAAAGCCATTAACCCTTCCACCCCCATGTGATGAGATTAACCCAGATGTGTCTGAATAGCCTTACATCTGAGTCATTGCCTGGGGCATTGACTGAGGCAGATACCTTATAAGACATTGCTGAGTGTTCTCAGAACACATCCCAACCACCCATTTTTGCTTCTTGACCTATAACTACACTTAAGTCCCAGCGGGCCCCAAAAGGTGAAGTGCAATGTGTGACCCAGGAGGAGGTACACTACACTCCAAAAGAACTGCTTGACTTTTCTAATATGTACAAACAGGAACTTGGGCAATATGTGTAGGATTGGCTATTAAGGGTGTGGGATAATGGTGCAGTGAACATAAAGTTACATCAGTCTGAGTTTATTAAGCACAGATTCTTCATTCAATATTTCAGCTCAAGATGTTAGGAAAGGATCTAATAGTTTATTTGGTTGGTTCACCGAAGCATGCATTACATGGTGGCCTACAGTAATTCAAGTTGAAGTGCTGGACCTGCCTTGGTATACTGTAGAAGAAGGTATCCAAAGGCTTAGTGAAATTGGTATGTTAGAGTGGATTTATCAGGTGACGGCCACAGACCCACACATGGAGTGCCCAGAGGACGTACCTTTTACCACAAGGGTAAGGAACAAATTTGTGAAGGGACCCCGCAGCATCCTTGAAGACAGCTGTGATTACTATTTTATGTAAGTCAGATTTGACAGTGGGAACTGCCCTAACTAAATTAACGCTTTCAGGACCAGTGGTATATATAGCTACCACTTAGTGTTTGTACCTCTGGGGTTCATTGGGAAGCTACTGTCCCACTGACAGTATGTGCTGCTGGCAAGCAGGGCCCTGTGTAAAAGTTTGAAGCAGAAAAAACAAGCGTGTACCATAGATTATTATTTTTACAGGGTATTTTGTATGAGGTGCTGCTGAATCACTGAATTTTGAGTAGGAAAAACATGAATTTGGAACATTTTTATTTGGTACACATATGTACCTCTAGACTCTAGGGGTAGAATTTGTGTTCACAAGGAGTATACATATACCTCTGGACTCCGAGGGTACAATTTGTGGAATGAGGCATAAAACAAAAACCATATTATCTACCAAAAATCATGACACACTCAGTGATTTAGCATGCCCTCCATTACTGAAAACACATAGTATCAACAAAAAATTAAAAGGGAAAAATAGCTAGGTCTCGAAATTAAGACATCTAACTACAATGGGGCTGATTGGACCCTGTGGTGGTAGGGGCCAAGTGGCGGCACTCAATCGACAAAGACAAGGTGGGCATGGTTACCGTAATGGACAATGGAGTGAAAGCAGTAATCAGAATAGTCTGATTCATATGGACTTATGGTGTTGGCTACTTAGTCATGGTGTCCCTAGGAATGAGACAGATGGGAAATCAACTAAATATTCATTTCATCTGTACAAGCGGAAGAATTCTAGAACAAGTGAATAGCAGTCTAACTCAAATCACCAAAATAGAAAGTCACTGCTCCTCAATCAATTCCCAGACTTGAGCCAGTTTACAGACTCACAACCCCTTGAATGAAACTGGCCAGGTCCCCTTGAGGAAGGACCCCACTACACTGCCAAAAATTTATACTTTAATCTTTCTCAGCCTTCCCCAAAGGGATCTATGGCCTTATATGAGAGTGACTGTTCACTGTGGAAAGGGAAATAATTAGACTTTTTGGGGATTACTGGATACTGGCTCTGAACTGACACTCATTCCAAGAGACCCAAAACATCACTATAGCCCACCAGTCAGAGCGGAGGCATATGGAGGTCAGGTTATTAATGGCGTTGTCTTAGTTATCTAGTGCTGCTGTAACAGAAATACCACAAGTGGATGGCTTTAACAAAGAGAAGCTTATTTCCTCACAGTAAAGTAGGCTAAAAGTCCAGATTCAGGGCATCAGCTTCAGGGGAGGCTTTCTCTCTCTGTCGGCCTTCTCATCAATCTTCCCCCAGACTAGGAGCTTCTCCACGCAGAAACCCTGGGTCCAAAGGATGTCCTCTGCTCCCGGCACTGCTTTCTTGGTGGTATGAGGTCCCCAACTCTCTGCTTGCTTCCCTTTTAACTCTTATAAGATGATATGAGGTCCCCAACCCTCTGCTTGCTTCCCTTTCTTTTTATCTCTTGTGAGATAAATTGTGGTGCAAGCCACACCCCAAGGAAACTCCCTTTACGTTGGATCAGGGATGTGACCTGAGCAAGGGTGTTACATCCCACCCTAATCCTCTTTAACCACAGGCAAAAATTATGATGTGTAACACATAGGAAAATCACAAAATGGAGGACAACCACACAATACTGGGAATCATGGCCTAACCAAGTTGACATATATTTTTTGGGGACACAATTCAATCCATGACAGGCGTCTTAGCTCAGGTTCATCTCACAGTGGTTACAGTGGATCCCCGAACCCGCCTGTAGTGATTTTACCAGTTTCAGAATGTGTAATTGGAATAGATATACTCAGCAACTGGCACAACTCCCACATTGGATCCCTGACAAGTGGAGTAAGGACTATTAGCATAGGAAAAGCCAAGTGGAAATCTTTAGAACTGCCCCTACTTAGGAAAATAGTAAACCAAAAGCAATACCACATTTCTGGAGGGATTTCACAGATTACTGCCACCATCAAGGACTTGAAAGATGCAGGGGTGGTGATTTGGACCACATTCCCATTCAACTCACCTATTTAGCCTGTGCAAAAAAACAGATGATTCTTGGAGAATGACAATGGATTCTTGTACATTCAACCAGGTAGTGACTCCAATTGTAATTGCTTTTCAAGATGTGGTTTTATTGCTTGAGTAAATTAATACATCTTCTTGTACCTGGTATGCAGCTACTGATATGCCTTTTTCTCGATTCTGGCTTCAAAGG